AGGCTATACACAATATGGTTGTTCAATGTTACCCTTGAATAAAGTTTATTTTGAACGGCTTTCTAATAACTACACTAGAAAGATCAGCTGATGAATACAAATTAGATTCATTAATATCTGCAGTGTGTCCACTTGCGTGCGACGACTAGGAGTTAAGTTGACCACATTATTACAGTGATGGTACTTGAAAGCTAGCAACAGCCCTACATGTGTCAAGGACGAGTTGACCGCTTGACCAAGGTGACATATGTATACGGGTCATAAACGCTGTAGACAGATTGTGTTGTATGTCGTTGGAAATCTGTGCATACGTACATGTACGGGACTTATGTACACATGTGTATATCATATACAATAATACATAGTAAACCGTGTTAACAACACATCACAGATACAACTGTGTTAACAACACATCACAGATACAATAGTGTTAACAAAACATCACAGATACAATAAACAGTGTTAACAAAACATCACAGATACAACTGTGTTAACAAAACATCACAGATACAACTGTGTCAACAGCACATCACAGATACAATCTGTGCGGTAGTGACAGGTTCCAGCTTCCTGTTACACCCACGTGACCTCCTGCTGAGCATATTTAAATGCGACACAGTCTCCGTGTTTTTACTTCAATCAATATTTACTGGCCACATTTTATACAATAATTATTGGCCATACTTTATACACTGGCCACTCTTACCGCACTATAAACTTTACGCTCATATATTGGCCATACTTTATACACATACACTGGCCACTCTTACCGCTCTATAAACTTTACGCTCATATATTGGCCATACTTTATACACACACACTGGCCACTCTTACCGCTCTATAAACTTCACGCTCATAAACTGGCCTCACTTTACCAACATATACTGGCAACACTCAACATGCACACCACAACATCAACGAATATACCGTGACAACTTATATATAGTTATCTCTGTTGCTGACACTACACCCAGCAGTTCTATACTCAATGAAATAATTTTCAATCACAACGTATTAATAATCGAAACCATACTTAGGCCTACTTGGGCCCACTTGTATGAAACAAGGAATGCTATTGAAGAACATTCGCATGTTTAAGAGAGTTTAAGCGCATTTTAAGTAGGTGTGCCAATACAAGCTGTTAAGATCAGAAATGAATAGAAACTATGAGCTATTTTGGGACCCGATGTATTTCTCAAGCATTGAACAAAACTTTAAATTCAGTAAATGAATGTTTACATATGTTTTGTATTTTGTAAGTTATCGTATTAAGTTCATGGATGACGTCCCAAGCGGTGACTCTTCAGTACGAGCTAAGGGAAACAACACGAGTATTGCAACTTTACCTAGAGCTACCCAGTTATTTCCCCTGGTTATATCGGACTAGAAATGGAGACAAAAAACACATTTCAGAGCGCTGTTGTCGTTTGTCCATCAATGTGAACGGAAAAGATATTTTAGTCTGTTTTTTTTTTCTTTTGTATTTTTAAAATTAGTTATGTTACTTAATTAGCTGAGAACATGTATAGGCCTATAAGACAGTATAAGGCAACCATTTGATTAATTATATCAAATCTAACCTACAGGTAAAAATATAGGCCTACACTATAAAGTTTAAAGTGAGTTGATTCTATAAACGTACCTCAAGTTGTTTTTACTTTCTCGTATATACGAAGTATAGAGAAAGTCTTGTAATCGTGCAAAAAAAAAAAATCGAGATTTTTGCAAATCTCGACGTTTTGCATCTCACTGATACGGAAAAACATAATTTTGCAATCTTGTCCGTATGTCTGTGTGTCTGTGTGTGTGTGTGTGTGTGTGTGTGTGTGTGTGTGTGTGTGTCCGTGTGTAAACACGATAACTTGAGTACCGTTACAGCTAGGTTGATGAAATTTCATATATAAGTATTTAATCAAAATCGTAGATCCGTATCAACTTTTGAGCGATTTCCGATAACCGGAAGTGGTACTTTTCCTACTTTGAATTTTTCAAAAGCCTATAACTTGAGTACTATTTCAGATAGATAAATGAAATTTCATACGTAAGTAAAAGATCTAATTCTCTACCTTCTATTAAAATTTGAGTCATTTCCGTTGACTGGAAGTAGTACTTTACGCTACTTCCGATTTCTCAAAAAACTAATGTAAATTTTAAAAGTAATAATAATATTGCGCACTATTATGCGCTTTTTTATTTCGCGTTCACTTGGTGTGCAATTAATTTGTCTACGAGATTTTATTCTATTTTTAAAACTTTAAGTATTTAAAATGGATTAAAAATCATGTCTATAGCCCGAGTTCCCATTCCCTGTTATTTTATATAAGAATATTCGAGAAAGTTTAGGGGAGATCACTCCCGGTTTATTTTTAACTGAAATTTGCTATCGAATGTAAATTCGTGTCATTTGTGTGTGAATTTAATTAAACAGGTGTGCAACGGAATTTCCCCTTTACAGCGCACATTCTTTCACTAGAGTTGAATCATTATTTGGTTGGATTCTAAATTTAAGTTTGTAAACAACCCTAATTTCAATAGGCATTAGCCAAGGATTTAGATCTACAGTTTAAATAAAAAGTCAGAATATTTTTAAAAAATCAATGTAATAGATCTAGATCTGATTTTTTAAAGAGTTTAACGCCCAAAAATATATAGATTCTCCTTACTTTTATTCGCTTTAGGCTATTTCTGTTCGGCCATGTCGCAGTCTTCAAGCAATGAATCAACCGTATCAAGCAGTCTCAGTGCCATGGTAAGTTATGTAATCCTTGTTGGTGTGGTCTTTGACCCATGGAAAGATTTGTATCTTCATTCTACAATATCTAGTGATAGATCAATTGTAAGTTGTTTTTTTGTTATCTGTTTCATGCCATTGTTGCTTCGATCAATGTTGTTTTTTTTTTCAAACTCATCCTGCCATTTCTGGTATTATTTAGCTGTTAGATCAATAGCTAGTGTATTTTTAAACCTCCACTGACTATGGTAAGTTTTTATCTTTATCCTACCACTGACGGTATAGTGTTAGCTCTCACTACATCTCTAAACCTAACTCCCACATTAACAGCTGTAGCATCAAAACAAAACAAAACACACGACAATGTTGGTTTTTGTTTCTATTACTAGCCAATATGTTTGAGCTTTGATCCCCAAGAATTATTTTCTCCCACAGTCTTCCAAAGAAAGAGGCAACGTGGCCATACGGATGGGCAAACTGTACAGCACCCTCCCCCACTGTCTGAGACGTCTGCCAGAGAACATGCCTAGGAACCGGCAGGAGTTTATGATCCGGAAGTGCATGAACCCCACGGAGCTGGAGGTGTACTTCGACGACTCGAACCGGTACCTGTATGAGGCGAGGAGTCTGGCCCAGCAGATGGAGGACATCAAGGAGGAGAGGAGAAAACTGTTGGAGCAGTACAAGGAGCAGACGAAACAGCTGAGGGTTAGTGGGGCTTAGGGAGGATAGAGGGCTTAGGTGGGTAGAGGAGGGAGTAGGGGAGAGGGGAGGGCTTAGGGAGGTAGAGGGGAGGGCTTAGGGAGGTAGAGGAGGGCTTAGGGAGGGTAGAGGAGAGCTTAGGGAGGTAGAGGAGAGGGCTTAGGGAGGGTAGAGAGGGCTTAAGGAGGTAGAGGGGAGGGCTTAGGGAGGTAGAGGAGGGCTTAGGGAGGTAGAGAGGGCTTAGGGAGGTAGAGGGGAGGGCTTAGGGAGGTAGAGGAGGGCTTAGGGAGGGTAGAGAGGGCTTAGGGAGGGTAGAGGAGGGAGGAGGGTAGAGAGGAAGGCTTAGGGAGGTAGAGAGGGCTTAGGGAGGTAGAGGGGAGGGCTTAGGGAGGTAGAGGAGGGCTTAGGGAGGGTAGAGAGGGCTTAGGGAGGGTAGAGGAGGGCTTAGGTGGGTAGATGAGGGAGGAGGGGAGAGGGGAGGGCTTAGGGAGGTAGAGGAGAGGGCTTAGGGAGGTAGAGGGGAGGCTTAGGGAGGTAGAGGAGGGTTTAGGAGGGTAGAGGGGAGGGCTTAGGGAGGTAGAGGGGAGGCTTAGGGAGGTAGAGGAGGGAGGAGGGTAGAGGGGAGGGCTTAGGGAGGTAGAGGGGAGGCTTAGGGAGGTAGAGGAGGGAGGAGGGTAGAGGGGAGGGCTTAGGAGGGTAGAGGGGAGGGCTTAGGGAGGTAGAGGGGAGGCTTAGGGAGGTAGAGGAGGGTTTAGGAGGGTAGAGGGGAGGGCTTAGGGAGGTAGAGGGGAGGCTTAGGGAGGTAGAGGAGGGTTTAGGAGGGTAGAGGGGAGGGCTTAGGGAGGTAGAGGGGAGGCTTAGGGAGGTAGAGGAGGGAGGAGGGTAGAGGGGAGGGCTTAGGAGGGTAGAGGGGAGGGCTTAGGGAGGTAGAGGGGAGGCTTAGGGAGGTAGAGGAGGGTTTAGGAGGGTAGAGGGGAGGGCTTAGGGAGGTAGAGGGGAGGCTTAGGGAGGTAGAGGAGGGAGGAGGGTAGAGGGGAGGGCTTAGGAGGGTAGAGGGGAGGGCTTAGGGAGGTAGAGGGGAGGACTTAGGAGGGTAGGGGAGGGCTTAGGAGGGTAGAGGGGGGGTTTAGGGAGGTAGAGGAGGGTTTAGGTGGGTAGAGGAGGGAGGAGGGTAGAGGGGAGGGCTTAGGCAGGTAGAGGAGAGGGCTTAGGAGGGTAGCGCCACAGCAGATAGGATACTGTGTGTGTGTATATGTATATATATATATATATATATATATATATATATATATATATATATATATATATATATATATATATATATATATATATATATATATATATATATAAACGAGATTAATTAATAGTCTTTGGTGTTCAATTTCTTTGTTACCGCTACTGTGTCACCACTGTTTGTAAAGCCCCAAGCATCATTTCGATCACTCTCCCAAAATATCTGGATTTATTAGATCTTTAGTGTTACAAAAAGAAGAATCAGTTAAATTCAGTTTTCACTGGAAAGTTGAGATATTTTAAATTTTATATTAACCGGAGAAAACCATAATCCCCATTAACCAGTTCTTAAAATCCGGCACCCTTAATTTTTCATGTACATTATTCATTGTTACAAATAAGAGTCGAATGTGAACTATATTAAACTATAATATAATTCATAGAAATGTTAGTAACTAAGATAATTATAAGTGTAATTTAATATTTATAATTCAATTTTTTTAAAGGATCTGATAGACGAAAGGCCGTTAAAACCAACGATGGATCTGGAGAGTATGCGGAAAAGATTTGATAAGGCGATTATGGACCACGCCAAAGCGGAAGCCAGGAAACAAAGTTCCAGTACTCAGTCGTCCTACACTAGATTCTAAGGGGGACAACCCACAAATTAAATTTTTAATAATCGGTTTACACTATTCTGTTTCTTACTGTTTATACGTTATATGTGGTTGAATAAATTTTTAAAAATTAATTGAAGTGTATTTAACAATTATATTGTTTGACAAGAAATGCAATATGATTATAAAGGAAATTTGCTTTTTTTTACCTTTTAATTGTTAAATTAGTTTAAACAACTAATTGTCCCCCACAAAACGATTTAGACCACATGCTTAATCAATAATATGGAATAAAATTGACATTTCCGTTATTTTTTATTATTACTTATTTAAATTGTAATATAGAAAACGATTTTTTATAACAAAAAACTATAGCGTTATACTAAGTTCAGCAAAATATTCAATAAGGGCCTATTTATAAAGCTTAATATAAAAAAAAATTAAGAATAAATGTTTTTGGTATGCAGTTTAGATTAATTCAGGGTGACCAGAAAGATGCGCAACGGGAAAAAAAAGCGCAAACAGAAAAAGCGCACACAGAAAAAAGCGCACACAGAAAAAAGCGCACACAGAAAAATGCGCAAAGAGAAAAGCAATGACATGTTCCTGACTTACAAAGAGCGAGGCTGAAGGCGTTATGTCACCTACAGCTCTAGCTAGTCATATTACCTGGAAATCGGTGGTAGACACAACAAGAGATGCTTGAAACCGCACAGCATTTAGTCTGGCCCCTACTCACGCACATCTGTTCGACATGGTTAAACCTACCAGGAGCACTACCCTCCAGCCGACGTAGATATGGGAGTCACGGGGGCACACAAGCCACCCCACCTCGCCAAGGCGCTGTGTCATTAGGATGGCCCTAAGAGTTTCCTTACGGTTTCAGTGATCCGCCTATGAGCGTTCTGCCCACACGACTCACACACCTACCGTTGCTACTTCGCGAGCAGGTACTAATGGCCACAACTGAACCGGGTAGAAAGATTTGTGTCGAGTCCGTCTACCTAGTGCAGAGACAATAATTATGTCCGCTACTTGCTCCATAACAATGTCACTTGTCGTGAGTGTGTAGACACTTAAAAAAGTGGAACACGCACGGCTAAACCCCCGTTGCCGTAATGTCAGCACTCAGGGGATGGCCCGACGAGCATTCAGATGGAAGTAAGTTTTAGACACGCGGACTTACAAGAAACAGCTTTACTTCTTGTTAATTTATTACTGCGCGAACCTACTTGAAGTTACCTACCGGAAAAGTTGATACAGAGCTACAAATCTATATATTTAATTCTCTTCATGGAGACCATAGAAAACACCACGCAGCTTAGCCACAACCTTCATCCCCACCTGTCAGGTGAGCTATGGTTCACCCCGAATGTTTACAATAGTAGAGCCGGTTCGAATAAGTGACGGCTATTAGGGGCAGATAATTTAGTTTTTAAACGATTTGAAAGCAAGGGGAGATTATAAGTTATGCTTGATACTTTCTTTGTCGTCTGTAAACGGCTGCTTTTATTGGGCGAGGTGGGGGAGGCAGGGGGTGGGGTAGTGTCGAATTCACAAATTATGAATTGTTGATTAGAAAATAAAACAACTAGATAGCGGCGTATGCTACGTCGCGGGTCAGCTCGTTTGATATAATACTTATATATGGAATTTCGTCAACATAACTGAAACTATTTGTTATCGTGTTCAGACAGAGAAACATCCATCCACAAGGACAATATTGCAAAGCCCAGTTTTTCCGACTCGATGACACGTAAAACTAAAACTCCGAGATTTTGATAAATCTGGATCTAGCATTTTTATCAGATTACAATAAATCCCCTATACTCTGTACATAATGAAGTAATAAGGTGTAAAACAGTAAAAAACTCAACATTTCATGTGATTTTTGTGCACGACTACATTACTTTCTCCATACTCTGTATTTGAGAAAGTAAAAACGTGCTTTTTTGCTTTCTCTTGTTCTCTGTATAGAAAAACTTAGCCTCCCCCGTACTCTGCCTCTCTTACAATCCGCCTCTTACCTCCACAATAATCAACCAGTCTCCATCAGTGTTTCTTCTAGACTTTTTTCTCCGGGGGGGGGGGGGGGGGCTCTTCCCCGATGAAAGTCTACTCCCCCCCCCCCCCCCCCGAAGAGATGCCTTGAACTTGGAAGAAACCCTGGTCTCCATTATAATCCTCCACTACGTCTCTCCCTATAATCCGCCACTTAACTAGCCTTATAATCTTCAGCCATTTAGTTTATCTGTGTTTGTGTGTACGTATGTCTGTATGTGATATGAATATTTTTATAAATTGAAGTTAGAACAGTCGGGCTCTGGGAAACCACTATCTCTATATCTATAAAAGCAGAGCGGGGTTTGTTTGTTTGTTCCTCTAACCTGAATTCGATAAGGCATTTGCAAGTAAGTTGCAGGGACATTTTTCTTGGCAAAGTGAAAGTAAGCTAACAAAATTCAATGTAACGGGAAATAATCGCGTTTATAGTGACCGAAAACTGACCTAGAGTTACCGCGGCCTTATATAAACTATACACTTTTTCAAAGAGCTTGAATTAGATCGACCACTTGCAGGTGCTACAAAAATTTGATAATTGGTAAGGCGATAGCACTGTTAGAGTGAATAAAACTAATTATTATAGCTTTTAATTTGTATGGTAGAGTAGTTTATTTATTAAGGGGAAACAAGTTTTGTACTAAAATTTACAATTTACGTTTAAATTTTTTTATCTTCAATATTTTCGCGTTTCCTGCCGTGTTGGTTATTATGTCAAGGGTCTTTATCAAAATAGATACAAGGTTCGGATTATGTATATTATTTTCCGTTTAGTAGGTAGAAGAGTTTTATAGTAATTATTAGTGCTATCTTAAAGATCGATAATTTGTTTTTAAAAACATCCTACCGACTTTGTGTACCCAGTTTCCAGTTGGAAAACCTTTCGGCAGCACTGTACTGTAGGCCCTACAACACAAACCAATATACCCCCCTTCCTCTTTATATTCTATTAACTCCAAATGAACCCTGTTCTTAGACTCAAACTTCCGCTCAGTTCCATGCGGGATAGGAGAGGGAGGGGGGGGGGGTCATGGTGAAGTCAGGTTTTGTGGATGCTTACAGGAGGGAGGGTAAGGTTGGCTTAGCAGTAACCTTTCACACACCAAATATAGCATTCACATACACCTTATTACTTTATTAAATACATAAACAGACACATTGCCTTAAATAATTCCTTTATAAAGTTATTTATAGATATTTAATGTTTAACTTGCTTTATCCCTTTTTAGCAGACAAAAAAATAATTTCTTTACTGTCTGCACATTCATCAGTAAATTATATAATGAATACAAACTTTAATCTCTTAAGTCTCGAACTGGAAGATATGTCTGTATTTTAACAAAAATTGGGGTGGAACGTATAAGTAATTATAGTAAGAATAACAGATTAATGTCATTTAACATATGTCATGTTTGTAAAAAGAATCTGTAGACAGCCATATAGTGACTGCAAATAAATAAATTTTAAAAAATAGATCAGCTTAAAAAGCCTGACATCTCTATCAACAAGATAACAAATGAAATGTCCACAACAAGGCCAAGCCTACAGAGAAAAAACAGTGTGGAAGAAGGCTGTGGCATTGTTAGCATAGTCTAATGGGAGTTCCTGGCCAGCGGCCTTGGCCCCCAAAGCTGCTGCTCCGATGCTGGCCTCGGAGTTTAAGTGGAGCAAGACGACTTCCTTAATGTCAGTCTTGGTTAAATTAGAAGTCATCTCTTCCATAAAACCTGTGAAAAAACAAGATTTTCAAAGATATTCATAAATGAATTGTGTTGCAACTGAAGTTCTATGGTTTGAGATTTAAATCTTTTAATAAAGTTAGACGCATAGAGATTTAATTGATTAAAATATATTAAATAAAATAACATGATGATGTATCATTAAATCTCCCAACAAAGTTAAGGTTGTAGATATATATTACAAAGATAAAATTCTATTGTGATCACACCATACTTTAAAACATCAAGAAAGTTGAGAAAGTAAACAAATATTAATGTCACCTGGTTCCAGAAGTTTCCAGCTTTTAAAGACAGAACCAACACACACCACAGGTAAACCACCTGCCCTTGCTTTTAAATCCTACAGGACAGATAAGCCATTGATAAAGCTACACTAAATAATTATTTAATTAAGTTTGGGATGACATGGCCAAATGGTAAAGCATTGGACTGATAATCCACAGATCTCGAGTTCAGCTCTTGCTTTGGACGAGTGACTGCCTGGCGTCCCTGAGTCCACCCAGCTCTGATGGGTAGACTTATATTGGGGAAAGTAAAAGCAGCTGGTCATTGTGATGCCGAGGTCATTGAAACAGATGAACACTACTTCATCTACCATCTTGAGCATGAACAGGAAAAGATGATGATGATATTGATTTCACATAAAGTACTATAGAGTGAGAGTTACAGTACCTTATGTATTTTATTTGATATTCCATACAAATGTCGAGCTAGCAGCTTTCCAGCCTCTTTAAAAATTTCACAACATAATGGATCATTTTTTTCTAAACCAACTGAAACATAAGAATAACTACAAATACTTCAACGACAAAAACTGAAGTTTGTTGAGAATATAAAACATTAACATTCGGTGTAAAAATATAGAGGGAGTATAAATTATAGTTTTGAATTTACAAATTTATTTTAATATGGGTTTTTATATTTCTATAAAGAATTGAATTACTCAATTTCAAAAACAAATTACTTAAATAATAAAAGAAATAAACTGTTTATTTTTTTTAAATGCTAGAACTATTTGTAATGTAATTCATTTGAACAGAGAGTCAAAATGAGATCTATTTAAAACTAGAATGCAACTACAAATTTTACCTTGGGCTAGATCTTTGCATAGACCAGCAAACTTAGCTTTATTAAAGTTGGTGTATAAGTGATCAAGCATTCCACTGCGATCCTTAACCTTAAAACAATTTTTTTTAATTATAATTTTAACAATTAATCAAATTAGTCTCTATTTTATAATAAGACATAACATAAAAAAATAGATATTAATTTGTATTAAAATATTCTTATGGGTATGTAGAGAAACTTCTACTCACATTGTAATACTTATAAATAGTTTCTTTCACTAATGAGGTGCTATGAGGGGAGATAACAAATCCATCTTCATGATCAAAAAAGACCTTGACAGCTTTCAGAGAAATCCAGCAAGCTAAGGGAGTTCGAATTGACAGAAATAACCAAACAATAACAAATGATGAGCAGGTATTATAGAGTAATTAGAAACTGAAATTCATATTTTAAAATTTTAATAATTTATCACCTGTGTTATTTATAATGTAGCAAAACAATTTAGCAAGCAGTGGGGATAAGTTCAAAATCTACTTTATTCTTAAGTTGACTCCCTTTAGGGGAGTGTGGGTCTATTTTCTTACAACAGCTTGAAGAGTCATAATTTACTTAAAATTTAGCATATACAATCTTGATTGATCTCAACAAATTTTGGCTCTTCTTCTTCTTCTTTGTTCTTAATTATTAGTGTTGAAGGGGATCGAGATTTATCTGCCAGTGGGTTTGAACTCGAGACTTTGTTCGAATTTATCAACCATGAGCTTTTTGCCGACTCGACCACGCCTCCAACACAATTAAGCGTTACGTGTCAACTGGTTATGCGCCATTGAGGCCATTGACTCCGATTTCAGCCTGCTTTTCTTTTTGGATTTGCTTCCATAGCCTTTGTCCAACCAAGAACAATCTACAAGGCAGCAGTTGTTTAATTTTGGAGTTGTCTCTCCTAGAAGAGTGGCTGTCCCCAGCTAACGAGCCTCATCTGCCCGAGGGTTCGAACTCGAGACTTTTCGGTTTAGCAAACATGAGCTTTACCGACTCGACCACGCCGACCCCTAAATTTTGGCTGATTAATACGAATTTGCCACCCTCGTACAATTTAATTTATCTTAATCAACATACTTTAACTTTAAAAGGGTATTTTGAAATGCTAATTTTTTACTGTTTAACTACTATAATAGAAAAACGTAATTTTAAACCTCATTTACACAGAAATAGTAAACCAAGCAACCAGTGGTGCGGTACTTTGCATGACACTACAGCGTATATCAGTTTACCTGAGGCCTCATCTCCTATCAGATGGCCCCATCCACCACAACGGGCCATTGAGCCATCAGGATTAATCAGCTGACAATTTGAGCCCGTTCCTGCTATCAACACAACACCACCTAAAATAATTATGAAAATAAAAACTCAATAATTCAGGAACAAAATATTCACATTACTTTCCTTTCAATAGTTTTTACTCATAAGTACAATACAATGTCTTAAATATTAACACCTAAAATAATTATGAAAATAAAAACTCAATAATTCAGGAACAAAATATTCACATTACTTTCAATAGTTTTTACTCATAAGTACTATGTCTTAAATATTAACATAATTGTTTATACAACTAATTAAAATGATGTATGATTTTTACAAAATGATTTTAAATAGTTTACAACATCTGCATTCTATTTGCAACAAAATTATTTATGTTATTATAATAATATGAATCTGTAATTGTGTATAGTCTAAGTTAAAAACAATTGATTGCAGACAGGTTTAGTTCAAAATGTTTCTGTACACACCATTGGGTAAGGCCGAAGCAAGGGCAGATTGTGTATCACTGCCAACAAAATAATGTTTAGAAAGATTTGGGTAGTCTTTCTTTAGTGTTTCTTTTATTATAACTTGAACTCCTTTCTCATCACCTCCACTCAAACTCATGCCCTAAGATTGTTTTAGAGAAGAAAGAAAATCTTTAAAAGATTGAAAGGGGATTTCAATATCTAGCTTTTAAAGAATTTTCATAGTAATCCACAAATAGATATGGAATTTCTCTGTAGAATTTTAAAAAGCTTGGTATACTTACTAAACCTTCTAAGGTAGTTGTGTCAGCTAAGTTTGCCTTCTTCAAGCCTTCATACACAAGGGAACTAATTATCTTTAGGCAATTATCAACACCAATTAACTGTAAACAAACAAAACAACCAAATATGAAAAGCCTGTTTATGATATATAAAAAAATAGTTTCTTGTTATTTGCTTAACTAATTGCTACAAGCCTCGACACATAATTACCACATACCACTGCTATTAATTAATTGTACATAGAGATAATTTGTACACTAAGTTATTTTTCTGCTACTTAAGTAGGATCTAATACAAAATGTATAAGCTGACTGTTTAAGTATTTTAAATTATTATAATGAATAATGATATTATTAATATATTGAAGTAACATTAATATTAATAGGTTATTATTATTATGGTTATTATTATTGATATTATTATTAAACAATAACTTTACTTTTCTGAAGCTTTCTTTTAAATAAAGGTGGATTTTTTAATTAATTAATCATTCTAAGCAACTACTTTTTATGTCCCTTCGTTTAGCCATGCAGCAAGAATTTGCAAGGACATTAAATATCAACAGAGAAAGGTTTTAAGCTATTAGAGCCTGAATCACGAAATAAATGAGCAATTGTTGGGTGCAAATCCACAGATGAGAACTATTTGCTTTCTAGAGCAAAAATTATTTTACTATTCTAAGATCACTAGCAACGCAAATTTAAGGAATAAGCTTACATATTGATTTGTTCCCTCTCCTTGACTAGTGGCCATTAGCTTTCCATCAGATCTGACCAAAACAAACTTTGTGTTTGAGGCCCCACTAATTAAAAAATAAAACGGGTCTATTATTATTAACAAAACATTGATTAGATCAAAATTAATATCAAATTAGTAGGCTATGATTGTATGATGAAGTTATCATAATAAGTAAATAAAATAAATGGCAAACTTCACTTTTATTATTTGATAAAAAATAAATCATGCATTAACATTTTAAAAACATGTATGTATCATAAGCTAAACTGCTAGGTAAATGTAAATGTATCTTGTTGAGCATATTTAGATAATAAATGTTTTATATTTATAATTATATTTATAATAGGTCTATATATTTATAATTCTTATAAACACTGTATCAACTAATTGAAATGTATAGGCCTAATATTACAAATTAATTGTATTTCTTCTTTTTCATCTTTCTTAATTTTAATATTGGAGGAGTAGTCACTCCAAAACGATTAAGCAATATGAGTCAATATGTTAAGTGCCATATGACCTGTCGACTCCGAGCCTGCTTTTCTTTCTGGATTTACTCCCAGCAGCCTTAGTCCACTAACGAAGGATTTGCAAGGCAGCAGTTGTTTGATTATAGAGTTATCTTTCCTAGATGGGTTCCTGTCGTCATTGTCGTTTATACTAGCCAGTTAGCTATGAATTAGCACAAGAAAACAGGTGTGCCATAAAAATCCAGCCACAACTAGATCAGACCTAAGTATCAGAGATATTACTTTTTTCTTCTGTATGTCTCACTGAAAATGTATCAAAATAACTTACCCTTCAACACCACCATAGTATAGGAATGATTCTTGTGACATTTTGATGAAATACTGCTAGTAGTCTAGTCCTGCTGGAAAGAAGAAACCATTTTCTTTTTACTATGGCCAATTTAAAGGTTTTTTTTACTACATTATAAAACCTAGTTGACACATTTTTTGTTTGTCCACACATCATCATTTATATTCATAGACAGTGGCATAGGCAAAGGTTATAACCCCTCCCATGAACAAAAACACTTAAAACATTTTTTCCAAATTCTCTTCATGGAGGGACCATGAGGGACAAACCACCCCCTCCCTCGCTCTTTAGGCATCCCACCCCCACTTCATCAGTCTGCTGAGCTGTGGTTTACGCCAAATTTTTACAATCGTGACGGCTATTAGGGTGACATAATTTTAGTTTTTAAATGATTTGAAACTAAGGAAAGGTAATTAAGGGGAGGCTGCTTTCAGGGGGGAGGGGGCGGAGTAGGGATGGGGGGTAATCATCCTTACAAGCAAATATTGGTAGTGTCGAATTCACAAATTATGAATTACTGAAAAGTAGAAAAAAAAATAATAGCGTCGTATAGCGCCATATGCTAGAACGCGGGTCAGCTCATATATATATATATATATATATGTGTGTGTGTGTGTGTGTGAGTGTGTGTGTTTCAACCCATCCCGTGACCAATTCCAGGCTATGCCAGGTGATGTTCATAGTAATCTACACTTTAGCAGCTTAGCTGCACATAACATAATTGATTAGACTATCCTTAATTGCATTTGAATGTTTTTTAAACATCGATTTTTTTCTAAAATATTTACTGAGCTCGGTAGACTTAGAGTATTTTAGTCATTTTCTATTATATTATTACAGTTTACTAAAACAGCTTTCTAAAATGCAAAATAATGGCTAAAATTCAGTTTCTAAAATTATTTTTTTTAAAAATGCTAAACTGTGACATCATCGTCACAAATTAAGGACTGTCTCCTCTACAACTGTGATGTCATTTATGGATGAACCATGAGAAAGAATAATTAGATAGGGGACTAATATAGAGTAGGTCCAGTATTTACTGTTTTTAGTGGTAACCAACAAAAATGTCACTCTCAGGGGGATGGGGGGTGGACTTTAGAGATGAGTTGTGATGCTGATCTGGGGTTCAGAAAGTGAGCCACAATTTTGCATTTGAAACAGATATGTTAGATACTAAACATTAGAAATTACATCGTATTTGTAAAAGTCTTTTTTTTTAAAATTGCAAAAGACAATGATTAATGCACTCAGTGTTGAACAATCTCAGTAAATATTTTAGAAAAGAAACTGGTGTTTTAAAAAAAACTTACACTAATTACTAGTTACAGCCAGCCTATTTAATTTAAAATAATTAATTTGGCCTAGTTTTGAAATTAGGGCCTACTAAAATTAGTTTAAATAATTTGATTAGACTAGGTCCCCTAGGTGTAGTGAGCCTACAAAATAAATTATAAAGGGATAAATTTAAATTAAATTTAAAATTATCGATTTAGAGTTAGAGTTTTAAATTAGAGACCAATGTCATGCTATCATTGCTGCAATGTTTTGTTATTATTATTAAATTAAAATTAATAATTTTAAATTTAGGCCTGCTATAGGGCCTATTAATTATTAATATTAATTTAGCAATTTAGCAGCAGTGCTTGCTGCTTTAGGCCAACATAATAGTTAGATCTAGTACTTTTCAATGGTGCTATTTTATGTCCTATTTTAGTTAAGCCGTTTTTTTTCTTTTCTTTTTTTGCTGGGCTTTTTCTTCAAGTGTTAATCAGAGCCTCGCCCTCTGCCAGTGCTTTGAATTTGACAATGTCAATGCACTGGGGGGGGCACAACATGAAGCACATGTTTTATTTAAATGGTATAGGCCTACTACTTGCTCTATTCCACTCTAGATCTATATTGACTATATTGAATGAGCATCTAGTTGACCTAGACCTTCATTCCGATAACAAAAGTAGTAGAATCTACTATGACAGTTTTTATTAGGCCTACACATTCTACACAACATTTGCCAGCGTGTATTTTGTTACCACAAACAGCAAAAGGGGGCGGTTCCCAAATAAAATGCTACAAATAGTAACATTGATCATGTGACACGAAGTTAACTAATCGTTTCAATTGGTGAGCTGACGCCATCTTTGTGTTTCTACTTCCTCTTTTAAACCAAACGGAGTGTACGGATATAGCTGCCGGTTTGGGTTTGACTTACATAAGGAAACAACAATGATTCTGTTGGAAACAAATAATCGTATTGTTCTAGAAACGTTAACATTTAAAATAAAGAATGTTTTGGAAGGGTATGTCTCACTGTAGATAGCAGAATGGTTTTATATCTCTAAGTAGTGTTACTCATTGTATACCTTAAATAAAAAGGGACAGACCGAACCATGTTTCCGGTGCTTACAATGGAGACGCCTATTTTCACTTCCTGAATAAAAAGACTTCTTTCTAAATCACCTTGCCATACAGCACAGAGATATATTGTTAAACTTACTAGTTAAGTTTACTTAATGAGAAATACAAAGTTACAAAACGCCCTAACCAACTGCAGTGTAAATTTAAAGACAAAGATTAGAACTCCTTTTATATTTTAGCCTTTTGTCAGTGTTATTTTATTAATGTTTTTTAGACCTGGAGTTGGGGGTCTGTCCTTTAACTTTTTTAGGAGAATGTTTATACCAGTGTCCGATAATGGAATCTTCCTTAAAAAAGGGGTGTTAGGTTACTGGGAGTTAACTAAATACTATACATGTCTGGCTAATTTCAATGCTAACCCTGTCCCTAACCCCAACCCTGGTCCTACCATACGCCTAACCGTAATTTCTAACCATAAAATTAGTTGAGATTACAATATCACTAACAACCCACAATGCAAAGACATCTCTAAACTACGGTTAAAGAACAAGACAATTTTTATGAATATGGTACATAGGCCTATACCTACTTAGCAAAATAAGAAAAAATATAAAAGCATTGGCATTGGCTGCGGCTATTCGTAGTGAACTACAAATATCCCTATGAAGGCTATTCGTACTCTGACCAATCAGCGTGCGGCATTTTTTTTTTATTCTTGAATTCCCTTTTTCATCTTTTACAAGCTGTATAGATATAGAACTAATTATTTTTTATGTCTCCCTAACCCTAACCCTAACCCTAGCCCTAACCCCAACCCTAACCCTAATGCTAAACCATAGTCCTTAAAAAAAATTTAAAAAAAAAAGAAAAAAGAAAAAAAATTCCTGAGCCAGCGGGAATCGAACCCACGCCTTGAAAAAACTAATTAGCCAATGCGCAACCACTTCGACCACCGGAACAGTTGCGACAATGCACAAAATTTGAATCTCATACACAAACTACAGGACAATGAATTTAAAAATAAATTTGATTGGTCGGCTGAAAAAGCGAAGTACGAATAGCCCCCTGAAGGCTATTTGTAGTGAAGTACCAATAGACACTCTCTTGGCATTAGGCCTATGTTAGTATGTAGGCTTAGAATTTTTATTCAAACAATGGCATAAATTTGTAAAAAGGAAATGCAAAGACATAGGCCTCTAAACTAAGGCGTACAGAACAAGACCATTTACGCCATTTGAGTTGTATATATATATAGGCTACTTATCAATATAAGAAACAATTTTAAAAACATAATGTAAGAGTTTTTTATTCCAACATTCACTATTTTATTTACACAATTTAAGAAAATTTACATTTAACGTTATCAACAACAATCTTTTTAAATATACCACATATTACCACCCTTTTCATTCAGTAAATCCAATTCATTATTTTGCATCTACATGTCTCTGTTTTTGCAATTTCTTCCATACCACTTTCACTTTTACTCACCTCTTAGCCCAAGATAAATATTATAAATAGGCTAGTGCATTAAGGAGCTATAACCTAAAGTATGTTTGGATGGCTTTTGGTCAATAACTAAACTAGTATATAGGGTATTCGGTGAATGACTGAAACTTTTTCTTTTAGTTAAAATTTAGCTTGTTAAATTTCATTTAGCAAGTTTATTTATATTTATAGTATCAAACTATATTAGGTAAATATTTTCAAGAGATATTTAGGCAGACTTTCTGTTTAGACCCCTCTACAGTCATGGCTTAGATTTAGATATAATTTAGGCTATAAGTTTTGTATTTGCTTTTTCAGAGGAAAGCCAGATAATGTTGATATCACAATTGCAGGTAATTGTCAAGATTTTTTAAAATTCTTTAATTAAATTATTCGACATTTGTCTCTGACCCAATTCAGTACAATTGTGCTTTTGTTCACAGTCTAGTTTTAATCTAAACCAAATTTATTATTATTAGTATGCATTTAATTTTCGGTTATTTATATTTTATATCAGATTTTGATGGTGTACTCTTCCACATATCAAACCCAGATGGAAATAAAAGCAAAATCATGGTAACTGTTTTAATTTTACAACTAGATATTTTAAAAGTGAGTGGGTAGTAATTTGTAACTGGTAATTTGTGATGCAATTTTTTTTATTAGAGGTGAATATTTGATTTGATGCAGCTTGTACATATAGTTATAATTGCCTACAGATTAATTACCATTTAATGAAGACTTTCATACATATTTCTATAACACACTGGGTCTTGTATTTTAGATGTATTATTTAATAAGAAATGTTATAAATATTTTCAGGTTAGCATATCATTAAAGTTTTATAATGATCTTCAAAAACATGGTGCTGATGATGTGAGTTGTATAACATATAACAATATCTCTTAAAATAGTTCTTTTTTTATATATAAAAACCTAAGTTTAATATATAATTTAAATTAATTTTTTTTTGAGAACACATTAATAACTATAGTAGGATTCTTTAAAATTGATTTTTTTTCCCCCAGTTGATTAAAAGAGAATATAGTGGTCTGCTAACAACAGCAGAATCAGGTAAGATATAGGCCTAGTTACAATTCTCAATTAGGAATTTACTTGTATTTTTTTTTTTTCTTAGTGTAAGATTTTGTAGTGAGGTGGGAAAGGTTTTATTTGTTTTTGTTCATTTTTATTTCAGGCTACAATGTTTCAATAGTTTTTGATCTTGAAAACATCCCAGACAATTGGCAAGAGTTGGTAAACAAAGCTAGTTTGCTAAAGAGAAATTGTTTTGCTTCTGTCTTTGAGAAGTACTTTCAGTTTCAAGAAAATGGCAGTGAAGGCAACGCAAGAGCAGTTATTCATTATAGAGATGATGAAACAATGTTAGTATTTATTTTTTATTTTACGCATTATTAGGTTAACTGAAAACTTGATTAAAATAAACTGTAGTTATTGTATAATGTATATAAAAACAAATTATATTCCAGCTACAGAATTTTCACGATTCAGATACTTAGGGTTAATTTAACTATTGTCATACTGTATTTTCTTTGTATTATTTATTATTTATCATTTTACATTTCAACATTTATAAGTTTTAAAAGCTGAGGTTGAAAACATTGGTATTTTAAACTAGGTATGTTGAAGCCAAAAAAGACAGAGTGACTGTGATCTTCAGCACCATTTTTAAAGACGATGATGACATCGTAATAGGGAAAGTTTTCATGCAGGTGATTGTTACTTATCATTATGTTTTTCAAAAGTTTTATTTGAAGAGGATAAATTTAACTTCTAGAATGCTGTAGACTTCTGTTTATAAGTTAAATTTTCACTTTGTAGGAATTTAAAGAAGGTCGTAGAAAGTACCAACAGGCTCCTCAGGTTTTGTTTAGTCATAAAGAACCTCCACAAGAACTTCAAGATACAGATGCACGCACTGGTGATAACATAGGCTATATCACTTTTGGTAATATAATTTTTATTAGAATATCATTTTGGGCCTTAATGCATTGGCTGTCTTTAAAAATTGAAACTTGAGTGAAATTTGTTTTAGGCTAAGGGTGACTGCTCTAACTTTGGTTGCATTCTAGCTTGGTCTAATTTCTTACTATGGTAAAAAAAAAAATCATACATTCCATTGGTCATCATAAATTATATATTAACTTGTTAAGTTACAGATTAGAATCGTTGGATTTTCCTTATTTAAGATTATCAATTTTTTTTTTTTTTTTTTTTTTTTTTTAATATAAATACTGAAAAGCAGATCTGTCAAAATGTTAAAAACTGCCATGGTCATAACTTGACAAGACCAGAAAACTGGATAGTAATACATACATTTTCCTTTATTATTCTGGTTAAGTGCAGTATTATTCAAATCTACTTTAGATAACCTAATTATATTTTCTACATATCAAAATTTAAACTGAAAGGAATTTGTTGTCAAAACTATTGTTATCGACCACATAATAGCTTTCCAGCATTTGTCAATTTATAATCTTTTCAGATGTTTATTTCTTTCTCTTTCTTTCTGCCGTTTATGAATGACCTAAAGATATATTGCCCCCCCCCCCCCCCCATTTTTATGCAACATAAATAACATTTCTATCCTTTTGAACATGTACACATTTTAATTATTGGATAAAACAGTAATTTATATATATGCTAATAGTTGCTGAAGTAAGAACAAGAGACTGAAGTTAGGGCAACTTTGTCAAAGTTAAAACTAAACAGAAAACTATTGGGTTTGCATAGGGAATTATATTTTTTGGGCATTGGTTAACTATTATACCAAACCAATCAAACAGGTACAAAGTTTTTATAGTGAAAACAATGTAACTGCTATTTTGATTAGCTTTGATAAAAACAAATTAGTTAATTTTTTTTTGTCATCAGCATTCATTTCTAAAATAACATTTCTAATATTAGTCTGTAAGTTAACAGTCTTATTTTCTTCTTTAATTTTTTAGTAATTGATCCAATTTATTTTATAGTTTTGTTTCCAAGACACACCAGTAAAAATGCTCGGGATAACACCATCAACCTTATTCATATGTTGAGAGATTATCTACACTATCATATAAAATGTTCAAAGGTAATCTATGTACTTTTTTTTTTACCCTTCTGTGTATTCATTACATGAACATTGGTTGAGCATGTTTTGAAATAGGAGTTCTAAAAGATTAAGTTTCTAACTGATTATCTCCAGGCCTATATTCATCAAAGCATGAGAGCAAAAACATCTGAATTTTTGAAAGTACTGAACAGAGCAAGACCAGAGGTAAAAGACAGAGAAAAGAAAACCATTACGTAAGTTCCTTTTCTGTCGATTTGTATTAAGTTTTCAGTCTTTGTATACTTAGGGCTATATTTAATCTTTAATTGTATTTAATACTGCAGTGCTAGTATATGCTGATTTACACTTTATATTAACTTGGTGTTAATATTTATAGTAGTAGTTACAATATAACTGTTTCTTTTCTAGAGGAAAGACCTTCCGGCAAAACTGAATGTCTTTGAGAGACCCGAGACCCACAGATGGAGACCCTGTCTTAAGTGCATTGACTTTTTTCTACTGTGACATCCTCATTTTTGTTTCTGTACTGTCACTCGACTGTCCAATTATTTGAAGTCTATAGATGTATGAACAGCTGCTTGATTTAAAAACAAATTCCAAGAATTCCAGTCATTGTTCAGTGACATCTTTCATGAGATATGTTCACGGGTTTGTTTATTGTAGGAAGCCAAGACATTATTTCTTGTTACTGTGTATAATTTAATCATGTTATTATATTTTCAATTACTTGTTTGGGTTAAAAGACACCATAACGTATTGTGGGTAAGACTTTTTTTTAATAACTTAAAACCATTTTATTTATTTCAAATATCAGCATTCTAGGATGGCTTATCCATTCTGCTGGAAACGAATTAACAAAAGCAATATGTTTGTATTTTTTTAGTTTAATTCATTTTTTATACATACATTCCCAACTTTTTTTTTTTAATTTAGTTTTCATCTTACCCTGTGTGTACTCATTTTTATCAGGTTTGCATCAAACTGTTCATCTTGACATCTATAGACTTCATTTTTTTGTGAATTCTTTCATTGTACTGCAAACAATGTGGTTTCCTACCCTTGGGGCATTGCATATATAAATTTTAAAAACCATAAAAAATCTATGCATACTTAACTTAGAATTAATTGACTACATTAACAAATGTCCCACTTAATTTTTCCAACTACCATTTTCCCCATCTTCTCTCCTTAGGCGTCAGTGTAAGGAAATTAATCTGTGTCCTGTAAGATATCTTACTCTTACATTGTATGTCAGCTGACATAAGTAAGATCAAGCCTTACACATTGAGTGCTAAGTCTGAAAGTTCTATTTATTTTTATTAAATTTAATTTCTGCAACAAATATTTTTATATGGTTATCTGACATATATCATGTTTGTTTTCTTTTGCCTAGCATGTCTTGATTGCGACAACAGCATACATTTATTTTTGTTTACTCGTACCTACATTTTTTTAGAGTCTTGATTGCGATGAGAGCAGTACTGGTCAGTTAACGTGACCAGCACATGTGATACTGATAAACATTATTTGTGTTTTTAATGTTGCCACTGGTTGCTATTCTCAAGACTTCCATTGTTGGTTAATTAATCATTGGTACCTTTCTCTACAAAAAAAAAATTTTCATTGATAATGTATAGAAGTGTTGAGTGGCTGCTTTCTATCTGTTTGTTGAAGGATGATAATCACTTGCATCAGCATTGAGGAAATTTATATTTATCTACCTGCTACAATTTGTATACATAGATTACCAAATAAACCTGGAATTCAATTTTTGTTAAAGAAACCGTAGGATGATTACTATTTTTTTTGTCAATAATTAATTAATTGAACTATCTGCATGTCAAGATGGATTAAATAACAGTTATATGTATCTATATGTTGAAGGTCATTACACATTGAAGAATTGCCATATCCCTAATTTTCATCTAACAGAATAGATTTGTGTTAAATTGTTTAATGGATAATTCTACTGTGATTGAATATCAGTTAGATAACTCACTCTTTGTTCAATTTCATCATGCTTGCTAAACAAACTTTAGTGGGTTCTGAGGGTGGTTTTTGTCTCACAAGTTAGGGTGAAGGTCACATGTGTCTGATTTGTAGAAAACTGAAAATATCATTTAGAAGTATTTGTTTCCTTCATGCACCATGTAGAAAAACAAACATTGTCACTAACTATATTAAGTCAATAAGCAGGCCTTTGATTTTTATTATTGCCAGATTTTCTACAAATTGTGTCCAAAATATTTGTTGAATACAAATTATTTTTTTCATGCAGTAAAAGTGCTAAAAATATAGAAGCCATGATTAATCATATGCATTAACAACTGGGAGGAATTGCAGCAATTTAAAACCTCTTATTGCTTGTAGAATGTAGAGACCATGGAATTGTGCTTGTATTTTTCAGATACATTGTGACCCCCCCCCCCCCCCCATCCAAAGTTTATAATGTAGTAGTAGTGATGTTTTTTTTTTAACTTCAGACTGGTGTAGGTGTGTTTTTTTAAGGGGGAAATTTAGTAAGTTCAAATGTGCTGTTTCTACTTGTACATAGGATGTGAGGCTTCAAAAGTTTATATTTATTGGGAACAATTCTTCTCTGAATAGATGTTATATCCCAGAGGTGATGTTAACCGTTGCTGTTAAAATAAAATAAAATGTCTATATGATCTCGTGAGAGAATAGCTTATTATTACTTTCATTAGCTAGAATTATGCTTTGTAAACAAATTTTATATGTATAATAATACATTTTCATTGTGTTTAGATTTTAAATAATTGCTACTTTTAATGATGACTTTTTAGCAGCTTGTGTATATGTACCTATTGCATTTTTTTTTTGTTTACTATAAATAAATCAGCATATCCAACTGTGTCTGAAAATGCTGAGCTGTTTCAGTTAGTTACCATATTTAAAACTTTTGAAGTTAAGAAAACAAATAAAATATTCAGGCATTTACTAATAGAATGAAATTGATTTAAAAGGGTTAGAAAAAGTAATTTTAAATACAATTTCTCAAAGAGCTTTGTTAGGTTGTAGTAATTACTTGATAAAGACAGCCATTCAAAGGCTCGATTCAAAAGCCTGTCTGTGCCTCAACCTCTTTATTTTTTAGCTACTTTGTGTTGATCAGCCCAGCTAAGATAGCTCTACTTGTTGCTGATGCTAATCAGCTCAATGAAGGTTAGCTCTTCTTGTAACCTATGTTGATTGGCCCAACTAAAGGCATATTACTGTACCAGTATGATGTGTACATTTCTTTTCTGTAACAATAATATAAATTGTATATTACAATAAAATACATTATGTTAAATAACTAGTTTTTGTAGTGTTGTTACAAAATATATTTGGGAATGATATTTTTTTAGTGTTTGTTTTCTAACATTAAGTAAACAACTGATCATGCACATAGTTCGCCTAGCTACACCTGACAGACATGTAAATGTAATAAGACACAATGGTATGCCAGATCATTTTTTAGAATTAGAAACAAAATTATTTTAATGCGTCATAGATTTGGGTTTCATAATTTCGCTTTCGAAGGAAAAATGTCAACCTGTGAAACATCCTTTATGCAAATGCGATGGGGATTTTATAAGATGATTTCTCTAGGGCAGGGGTTCCCAACCCCGTGCCCGCGGGCGCCATGGCGCCCGCCGAACGATTCTTATGTGCCCACCTCTCACTATTCTACATAGACAGAATTTTTTTCATAAACATTATTGAAAGGTTGAAGGGGATGGAAATCGAAAGTTTGAGGGGGGGGGGGGGGGCAAATCGAAAGTTTTGTCCCCGGGTGACGGGAAGGGTCGCTACGCCTCTGGAAGGAATTTGTCGATTTAAAATAGGTGGTGCCCGCCACCCTACCGATATTTTAGAATGTGCTCTAGAGTAAAAAATGGTTGGGAACCCCTGCTCTAGGGGTTTCAGTGCAAAGAGACGTCTCGACCTAAAGACTCCTGTCTAAACATCCATTGTACGACATGGGATATTTCGTTGAATGGTTGATTGTATAATGGAACATGTTAGAGGAAACAAACTGGAATCCAACGGACACAACAGCTCGAAGTCGTGGCTTCGCATATGAGCGCTGCCTCCTTGCAAGTAGTCAACAACAAATGCAGAAGATGCAGTGATAACCGGTGTAATGATAGTGGCACCGCCCATGACTTTCAGATTAGAACAAGCAGCGATAAAATATATTTTAACATTCTTAGCCAATGTGGAATTCAAATGCATTGTAAAAAAAAAAAAAACTCACTCAGGAACTATAGCTAAATGTGAAGTAGTGGATGGCTGTTAAAGTTATATTAATTAGTGAGGTAAACACTGCGGTTACAGCAAGGTTAATTAGTGAGGGAGATTAATTAGTGAGGTATTGGACGGCCGTTACAGTTAGGTTAATTAGTGAGGTAATGGACGGCTGTTTCAGTTAGGTTAATTTTATTTAAAGAAGAAAAATAAAAAATTAAGGCCTATTCGAATGTAGAAAAACAATTTTAATTATGCAACCGGAAAAGTGTTTATACTTGGGACAAGAACGCATTTAACAATGACGTCGCTTATTGTTTACAGTGAGTTTACACTAAAAAAAAAAAGAGCACGAAACCTACGACGTCATCTTCCGAGTTAAGAATAAAATAAAGAAATTAACTATTTCATTCAAATATGATATAGAGCTAGATTCTACGTACGCTATGAAATGTATACAATACGATTTTCTCGGCCTAAACTTTTATAAGTTTTTACTTTATCTATTCGGATTATAGATATAGATTCTAGATCTAGATCTCGATTCTAGATCTAGACTAGATCTACGGAAAAACTAGACGTAGACGCTAAGACCTGGGTTTAGACTATCTACTAAAAACAACATAACTACCATTGAACAGCCGGGGTTTTAAAGAAATCTTTTAAGTCTCTTAATTTTAAGTCTCTTAATCAGCGAGTGCATTTATGTTATGGTTACCGATGAAGAAATGAACTATTTCATTTAAATCTATAGATCTATTCATAAAAACCTAATAAAAATAAATCACTTTAAAAACAAGAAGAATATCGTGGAATAGCCGAGTTTTTAACGGAATCAGTGTGTGCCTGTATTATGTTGAATGTGTCGGATTTTTAGCTAATTAGTTATTTCTTTGCTTTGCCAGTAATATCGTTCAGCGTGTAGTAATGCACATTGCGTTTTGCCCAATAACTATTTTTTATAAATTATTTTTCTCAAACAAGTTCAACATTTTAAAATATATAGGCCTATAATTCACGTGAAACGGGTACCGATGGCTAGTTTATTATAGTCTGTAAACGAAATTGTAGGGCCCAAAAATAATCGTGGTCTCCAGCAGAGGCGTAGCGACCCCTCCCGGCCCCCGGGGACAAACTTTCGATTTGCGCCCCCCCCCCCCCTCGAACTTTTCATTTGCACCCCCCCCCCTCAAACTTTCGATTTGCACCCCCCTCGAACTTTTCATTTGCACCCCCCCCCTCAAACTTTCAATTTGACGCCCCCTGAGGTCGGCGCCCGGGGACATATGTCGTCCCCCGCCCGCCCCCCCCCCTCGCTACGCCTCTGGTCTCCAGGCTGCTGCCTCTTTGATTGCAAGTGTGTCTGAGTGCGTAGGTGCAAGATTGCTGTATGTGTGAGTGTGTGTTTGTATTTGCTCGTGAATCAGTTGAATCAGGTATGAATATTTTATCCGCCAGAAAAAACAATTTGCGTCTGTTCTTAATCAAACAGGGATTAGACAGGTAACTCATTTTGCTGTAAGTTATGCCCAGTCTCTATAAAACTATAAATCCTATTGCTTTAATTACACACGAATGCAGGTTATTTCATTTATATCACAAACTGGATTCAAAGGGAACACCTTAACATAACGTTCTTCCTAACAATAAACTGGTTTATGATTATTGCTCACTAGCTCATTAGCTATGCAGCTATAAGCCAACCAGAGTAAAGTTATGAAAAATATTGAAGTTTAATAATAACACGGCACTAGAATTTGTGAAATAATGTTTTACTAGCCGTCCCGGCCAGGCCCTGCTCTGGCTTCTGTGAAAAACCTTTCTGTTAAAGACCATTACCTGTGTGTTTAGTAATCATCATAAACCCGGCATTGCCCACCCAAACCACAACCAACCAAAACAACAAAACGCAAACATAACGCTAACACAATTACAAATACAAACGAAAACAAAAACCTAACAACAAACCCAACCACAACCACAAACACCAATACAAACACAAAGAAAAAACAAACAAAAAAGCAAACGAAAACAAAAACCTAACAACAAACCCAACCACAAACACCAATACCAACAAAAAAAAAAAAAAAAAAAAAAAAAAAAACGAAAAAGCAAACGAAAACAAACCAAATCCAAACGCAAAACCAACCAAAAACACAAATACAAACCCAAACAAAAAAAACACAAACAAAAACGAAAAAAGAAAGAACGAAAACAAACCAAATCCAAACGCAAAACCAACCAAAAACACAAATACAAACCCAAACAAAAAAAAACACAAACAAAAACGAAAAAAGAAAGAACAAAAACGAACCAAATCAAAACGCAACCACTAACGCAAACCCACCTAAACACAAAGAAAACACTAACGCGAACATAAACGCCCGGGGCAGAATCGCCTGTTTTAGCTTAATAAACGACTATAGTACCCCAACTTATTCATAGTTTTTGCACTCACTTAAACGAACGCGCCTGTTTCAATTTAATGAACAATTATAATACTCCAAGCTTATCCGTAAAATACCTACAACATTTGCACTTGATCAATCCCCGCTAATTATGTAATTATTTTTTTTCCCAACACCAAAACAAAGTAATTAAAAAGTAAATGCTTTTCAACTAATGCAATGGTTTTGTAAAGGGAAGTAATTGTGTTTTGCCTAATTTATCAAAGGGAAGTAAGCGCTATAGGACTAAATAAAGACATAATTAGAATTTTTGTAAAAGATGATATTTTTTTAAAACTTGTGTTTAATGAACATGCCGACAATTATTACTATAATTTGAAAAATGAAATGATTTCCCAACACTTTTAATAGTAATTTTTTAACTCATAAATTTAGACCAACGCGCACGATAATTTTCTAACACTTAAATCCATAGATAACCAGCGACAAACAAACATATGCGTTACAGAATTGAGCTTTATATATTAGATTAGAACAAATGGATTTTTACTGTTATTGCGCATCTGACAAAACAAATATTATTTTCAAAGATATACAAGCAATACTTTTATTACAAACTCAAATTCATTGTTTAGTAGCCTACTTCTCTGAATTCTTAGATGGTTTGGTCTTTATTTACTTGACAACCTGGGTATAGCACTCATTTATTATGGCACTTGTTAAAATAGCTATACATGCCGTATATATATATATATATATATATATATATATATATATATATATATATATATATATATATGCTTATACATATACATACCTTTATATTTTTTTCTTTCTCCGGGGGGGGGGGGGGGCGCACACATTAGGTGCCGTACCAGTTGAATCCCGACCTAGCGACGCCACTGTATGTATATCTGTATCTATATCTATCTATCTATCTATCTCTCTCTCACACACACACACACACATATATATATATAAATAAATATATATATATATATATATATATATATATATATATATATATATATATATATATATACATACATACATATTTATGATTATGCCTTCTCTCCTGCCGTCTCCACGTGTACCTAATTAGTTGTCTGCCTCAATTCCTTGTCGCCTATTGGTTGTGGGAAGGCGCATGCCTTGAAGATTTAATACACAAATCCAACCCTTGGTAAAAGTATTATCAGTTGGACGAAACGCCCAGCACAAGTGATTTATTCTTGGTCAGGTTGTTCTGCCTTATTTGATCAAAATGTTCAAATTTGTTGTGGCTGTTACTCTCTGTTACTTCATTGCAGGTAAGCTATTAGAAAATGTTTTAATAAAAGTTATTATCTTCTTTCTACTTCTTCTTCGTTGTTAATTTTTAGTGTTGGAAGTGATCGAGTCTTATCTGCCAGAGGGTTTGAACTTTTTTTCAAATTTAACAACCATGAGCTTTTTGCCGACTCGACCACGCCTCCATCACAATTAAGGATACGTGTCAACTGTCTACAAGGCAGCTGTTGTTTGATTATAGAGTTGTCTCTCCTAGAAGAGTGACTGTCCCAGAGGGTTCGAACTTGACACTTTTCGGTTTAGCAACCATGGGCTTTACCGACTCGACTACGCCGACCCCACAAAGTTATTTATAATAACGAGCTTTTACATAATGCACCAAAAGGGGGAACATGAAATTGTTATCTTAAAGCATCTATATATATATATATCTATCTATCTATATAATTCTCTTCTGGGAGACGCTAGAAAACAAGCTGTAAACGTGCTCCCTACCACCCCCACCCCTACATGGTCTGGTGAGCTGTGGTTCACTCTAAATGTTTACAAACAGAGCCGGGTTTAGTGACGACTATTAGGGGCAGATAATTTAGTTTGAAACGATTTAAAACGTAAGGGGGGAGGTAACTTAGTGGAGTTTACTTTAACTGAGGGGGGGAGAGGAGGGGGGGGGTTATCGTCCTTAACGAGCTACTTATAGTGTTTCAAAGAAGTGTAGTGTCGAATTCACAAATTATGAATAACTGAGAAGTAGAAAAAACAATTAAATAGCGGCGTATGATATGCCGCGGGTCGGCTCGTATATATATATATATATATATAATTCTCTTCATGGATACCATAAAAAACACCACGCAGGTTAGCCACCACCCTCATCCCCACCTGTCAGGTGAGCCATGGTTCACCCCGCATGTTTACAATAGTAGAGCCGGTTCGAATGTGACGGCTATTAGGGGCAGATAATTTAGTTTTTAAACGATTTGAAAGCAAGGGGATATAAGTTCTGCTTGATATTTTCATTGTCGTCTGTAAACGGCTGCTTTCACTGGGGAGGCAGGGGGGTGGGGTAGTGTCGAATTCACAAATTATGAATTGTTGATAAGTAGAAAATAAAACAACTAGGCCTAGATAGCGGCGCGTGCTTAATTAATAATGCATCACATAAAAGAACATCCCCCCCCCACCACCACCCTCACCCACCACCCCCAAGCACGTCAATCGAAATAGAATTTATATACAAAATATAGATTTAACAAGTGTCCACCTCTCCCCCCTCCAAAAACAAGTTTCAAGTACACTTTTTTTTTTAGTTATTTCAATACTAGAAGTAGTTGAAATTACGTTTTCGAAACACTGAAGAATTAAGTTTCATGAAAAGCTTGTAAAAAACCACACACACACACACCGAATGCACACACATCACATACACCACACATACAGTGTTTCTTCGAGGCCTCTTTTTGAAGGGACGTAGCCCATCCTCTCTTTCCCCCCCCCCCCCCCTCCGAAGAGAGTCTACCGCCCCCCCCCCCTCCAATGAAATAGAATTTATATAGAAAATGTATACTCTTTACAGTGTTCGCCCCCCCCCCCCCCCAAATGCCAAGTCCCCCCCCCCCCCTCCCCCCGAGAAAATAGTCTGAAATAATTGTCGTTACATTAAAAAATGTGTTTTTAATTAGACAATCATAAACATTTTAAAAATCTAGAATACAGATGCATCGAACAAGATGATGGGTGTGGAGCTTTGTTTGCCTGCCACTTTCCGAACAGCTGGTATCGTATTAGAAATAATGCTGATTTCAATCGCTTTTGCCAGTAAGTGGCCAGATTTTTGTTTTCTAGCCTGCTGCCAGTTGGCAGTGCTCTTTTATTTTGGTCAGCATTGGCCGTACACAGCGGCCAAACGCATTTTTAAAAACTGGTAATCACTTTCACACGAAATGTATTCTTTATATAAAATAGATTACACCTCGTGGCACAGTTAATTAAGAGAGATAGAGTTGACGAACGGGTTATGTAGTGTCTGCCTAGTCGACTTTAGTACTGACCATTTATGGGATTGTGCAGTAGAACTTGATTTTCTACACTGTACTAGACTAGCAGTGAATAGAGGGATTCAGCTTGTCAGCGCTAAGCCTATCCGCCTACAATATTTCCAACACTCGCCTTTTACCCATCTATTCATAAAAATAGTTAGAACTCAGAGACGAAAGTCAAGAATACAACTCGAACTTTTAGGTCATTATCGTATGCTCTACCAAGAGATCTCATTATTCCCCACCTACCTCACCTCCCGCCCGAAAAATGTCTGAAATAACCCTGCTAGAAAGAATTAAATCTCAAACGTATAAATTAAGATGCGTATAGACATTTTTGAATTCTGACTTTTTCGGAAAAGGCTAAGTGAGGGGCTTTCAGCTTAATTTTGAATTTATAAAACACACTATAATACTTCTATGTAAAACTTTTCAATGATTTCTGCAGCAAAAAAAACTCATGATATATTACAGGTGTACAAACTACTTAAATTTAACACTTCGAATTTTCAGAGAAAATGAGAACTTATCTTCCTGCATCGACAACACAAAAAACTCATGATATATTACAGGTGTACAAACTACTTAAATTTAACACTTCGAATTTTCAGAGAAAATGAGAACTTATCTTCCTGCATCGACAACACAAAAAACCAGTGCGGAAGTCAGAGTACAGTAACTGCGGTGTTAAAAGAAATCGCTGGGAACAGACGCGTATGCACTAATGAAACCAGAGCTGGTACATAATTATACAGAGTATAGAGAAAGTATTGCAATCGTGTTTTCTTTTGTGATTGTGTGTGTTTGTGTTTGCGTTGTGTTTATGTTATCTTTTGTGTTTGTTTAATGTGTTTGTGTTTGCGTTGTTTTTGGGTTTGTTTCCTTTTGCTTTTGTGTTTGCGTTGTGTTTGTGTTTTCTATTGTGTTTGTTTTTGCGTTGTTTTTATGTTGTGTTCATGTTGTGTTTGTGTTTTTATTTGTGTTTGTGTTTAATTTTGTTCTGTTCCATCGTTGGTACATTTAAAAAGATTCCCCGTGGCGGAGCACGGGTGTGCAGCTAGTATATATATATATATATATATATATATATATATATATATATATATATATATATATATATATATATATATATATATATATATATATATATATATATATATATGTAAGCCCTGCTAGGGGGGGGATACCTTAAAATCTATCTAACCCTTTTTAGGCTTATCTAACTAACTACTGTCCGGTCAGTGCAACCGTGGTAGAACCCACAGTGGTTAAACCCTAACCTTAGTCTAAATAATAAGCTACTAAAATAAAACAAAAACTTTTACAGTTAATAAAATTTATTTACCAAGAATGACTAGTATAAAATTTATTCAACAAAATATGGAACCAAAAGTTATAAAAAAAGAATAGATAAAAAACTGACACAAAACAGAACCAAACGAAACAAACTTTTTACATCAAACAAAACATTACGTTTGACCATTTGATGGTGTTGCGCCGACTTATGATGTCTAGGATGGTCCAGGCCCTGACACACAGAAACCTCCCTTCATCCATTCTCGACATCCAAAAGCCCACACCAAACAAAACACTACGTAAAACCACTACGTACAATACGTTACGTACAATACATTACGTAGAAAACAATACGTACACAACAAACTCCAACGCACAAAGCGCGACCACAGAAGCTGACCTGACCTACATTCTGGCGGTCAAAAAAAGGAAGAAATTATCCGAGTGGTCAGTTTATATACTGACCACTTCGGACGGAAGGGGGACCCCGTGGCCTGTTCCCCATTGGACCACCATGCACTCCCAGATTCGCAACAAATAAAATTAATACAAAATAAATAATCCATTCACCCGCTCACACACATATATATATATATATATATATATATATATATATATATATATATATATATATATATATATATATATATATATTATAAATTGGCCCCTGTATAAGTCGACACAATTATCTTTAGATTTTAATGTACTAATATATTAGTATAAAAAATATTGTTGGCTAATTAGTAAATTAAAAAAGAAATGTCTTAAGCTATCAAAAAATTTCCTGTTTAGAATAATTTTAGTGCATATTAACAACATAACATAATTTACATGTTGTTTCCCTAGATGTTTTAACAGTGAATAGTTGTTCATGTCTCAACGCGACTAATGAGAATAAGACCCGCCAGGCTATGAGAGACTGCAGTTCCAATTACTCGGTTCAATTTATGGCTGCTATGGATGCTGCCATTGTTGGACATTACAGACCCAACACATGCGGGTAATTTGACTTATAAAATGTGGCATTTAATGATCGCAATTTATTTCTCAAAAACGTTTTTAATGTATTTTTAATCAACGAGCTGACGCACTTACGTTGCGAGAAACTTTTTCTCTTTTTTGGTTTTATTAAAATAAGAGACATTTATATACTCACTGCCTCTCTCCCAAAGGTTTTCAATAAAGATGCCTAAGTGCAGTGCACTAGAAAAAAAAGGCCCACCCCCCGCATATTTATTTTTGGGCCCTTATATCCCTATATATATATATATATATATATATATATATATATATATATATATATATATATATATATATATATATATATGGAAAACAAGGGTCGCTCTAAGTGTTTATTCCAGACTTTTTTCTCCGGCACTTGAAATTTTCGGGCTAAAATGTCCGGGGGGGGGGGGGGGGCGGACAATGTTAAAAGTATATATTTATATATATATAAATATATACATTCCATTTCGTTCAGGAGGGGGGGTAAAAACTTTCTTCCCTCCCCCCCCCCCCCTCCCCGAAGAGATGCATGGAAGAAACTCTGGTCGCTCTAATTTTTTTTTTGTTATTTACTCGAGTTCTAATAAAAAATTATCTCGCCTTTTTAACCCCCCCCCCCCCCCACCCGTTTCCCTCACCAACCCCCCTCTCTCTCTCTCACGCCAAACATCGTCAGAAAATCGGGCGACCTTCTGCAATAGCCTTTAGATCACGGGTTCCCAACCTGGGGGTCGCGACCCCCAGGGGGGTCGCGAAGGTCTTTCTGGGGGGTCGCCAACTGGTATACTAAACCTTAGTAATTTGAAACAAAACATAAGTATTTAAAAGAATTTTTTAAATTCGGCTTCATTAACATCACTGGAAATGTAATAGAGAAGAAAAAAAGCGCACTGTACAAAGTTGTTCTCAGTCACGAATCTATGAAATCTTCAAAACTAAAACGTCATTTGAGACGAGTCATTCGGAACACACCAAAAAATATATGGAGTTCTTTCGTCGGTAAGAAGCTAGTTGCAAACGCCAGAAACTTGATCGAACAGGAAGTTTTCACCAGCATTAGTGCAAGCATCAAATGAAGTCGCGATAGAAAATGCCAAGCAAAAAATAAAAAAACAATAGGAGAAAATCTGATCAAACGCTGCATGTACGTAAATGTTAAATAACACATTTTTATTGAAATTAAGCTTTCACCATTGTTTGCTTTTCAAGTTGATAAATCAACAGACGTGAGTTCGTGTTCGCAGTTGCTGGTCTGTGTCTATATTCATGCGGATGATAGCAAAGAAGAGTTGCTCTTTTGTGAAGATAGCATGGAGAAAAAAAATACCCTTTTTTAAACTGGATGATTAAAATGGGTTACAACGGCTGTGGGGGTTTGTACGGATGGTGCGCCATCTATGTTTAGCTCAAAATCGGGCTTTCAGAAAACAGAAAAGATTTAGCTCCCTAACCACTGCCCTAACCAATCGACATCAAGAGTCCATTGCTAGTATAAGTCGTAAATTATATAAAATCTGGAGCCTTCAAAGAACTGAGCAAAAACATTAATTTAGATCACGAGGTTCTGCTCTTCTACACTACAGTACCCTGGCTGTCAAACGAAATGTTGTAAATTGTGTTTTTGAATTGAAATCTGAAATCAAATTGTTCTTGGGAGTGCAAAGGAAACAAGACTTTTTGGTATACTTAAAACGACATAGAGTGGTTGGAGAGAGTATCATACCTAGCAGATATGTTCGAACATCAAGATAAACTTAACCCGAAGCTTCAGGGAAAATGAAAGAATATTATAACTTTCCATGATAATCTCGGGGCATTTTTATCAAAGCTGCAAAATCGGTAAAGAAAACAAATCTTGGAAATATTGTAAATTTGAGAAAATCTGCGGTGTGGTAGATGAATCTGATTGTGAGATAATTAACATTTTGAAAGAAGCGATTTCTGGGCATCTTGAATCTCTTGAAAACGAACTGTATCGCTATTTCTCTGAGCTGAAAAAAGAAGAATCTGCATTTACGCATTACCCATTCTCTTCTTCCCTTGATGTTGCCAGCATTCCCGATGAATTGAATTCTTTAATTTGCAGAATGATTCCGAGTAAGATGAAAAACTGCAGACACAATTTTG